TAATTTGTTATGATCCACACAGTCGAATGCCTTTGCATAGTCAATAAAACACAGGTAAACATCTTTCTGGTATTCTCTGTTTTCAGCCAAGATCCATCTGATATCAACAATGATATGCTTTGTTCCATGTTGTCTTGTGAATCTGGCTTGAATTTCTGGCAGTTCCCTGTTGATGTATTGCTGCAACTGTTTTTGAATTATCCTCAGAAAAATTTTACTTGCCTATGATATTAATGATACTTTTCAATAATTTCCGCTGAAATGGATAGTGTAATAAAAATAAGAATACAAATGTATGGAGCTCTGAAATATGAACATTTGATAAACAGACTGCAAGAATAAATAAGGTAAGAGTCCAAGCTTTAACTTGAATAGCTTTTGGAGCAGCCACTGTAATAGGCATCTGACAAGTAACAGATTTGCGGGGGCTGTGACAGTCTACTGCTTTTTTCCCCTAGGAATTAATTATCTATTACCCTGCATACTTGCTGAAATACTCTGCATCTCTTAAAAACAACTTGGCTGATCTATCAGCAGCAGCATTATTAAACTAGCAAACAAACAGAAGTTGCAGGCAAATAAGGGGGCTAGTAATCTTTATCAGGGATCAATTGACTTTATTTAATATTTTATTGTGTTTTACGAAAGTTTACACAGCAAATTAGGTTCTCATTTAACAATTTCTGTACTCAGTGTTCAGTGACATTGGTTATGTTTTTCACAATGTGTCAGCATTCTCATTATTTTCATTCTGGTTGTTTTGTTTCTATTAATCTAGCTTCCCTGTGCCCCCCTTACCTTCTCATCTTTGGTCTTGGGAAACTGTTTACCATTTGGATTCATTCAGATGATTATTTAGAGGATCACAGAACTCATGAGTGACATTATTTGTTTTATGAGGCAATCTGTCATTTGAATGAAAGGTGACCTCAGGGAGCGATTTGAGTTCCAAGTTTAAAGGGTATCCCAGGGTGATAGTTTCAGCGGTTGCTTTAGTCTCTATCAGTCCAGTAAGTCTGGTGTTTTTTAGGAATTTGAGTTGTGTTCTACATTTTTCTCCCATTCTATCTGGGACCATCTATTGTGTCCCTAGTCAGAATGGTCAGTAGTGGTAGCTGGGTACCATCTAGTTCTTCTGATCCCAAGGTAGGTAAGGCCATGGCTTGTGTTGACTACTAGTCCTTAGACCAGTTTCTTCTTTGAGTCTTTGGTTTCTTTCTTTCTCTTTTGCGCTATATGATTAGAGACCAATAGTTGTATCTTAGGGATTCATTGACTTTTGTCTTAATACTTAAGGACAATGTAAGACATTTTTACAAGGTGCATATTTTGTGTTTACACTTACAAGAACAATGTACCTTTTATTTTTAAAGATAAATTCTATTTCCGAGGAAGTGAATATACCCAGAATCTCTTTACTTAATTAGTTTTCAGTATCATCATTTATAAACACCATCATGTCCCATTTTAATAGTGGGTTTTGGGTGAACTTGCCCAGCTAAAATTTTGGGCAACCTAAAGTTTAGTGGTTTGAACCCACCCAGTGGCACTGAAGAAGAAAGGCCTGGCAATCTACTTCTGTAAAGATTACAATCAAGAAAACCCTGTTAAGCAATTCTACCTTGTAACACATGCAGTCACCATGAGTCAGAATTGACTCATCGGCAACAAGCTGTTTGTTTTTTAATCTTGAACTATGTGGCTCTTAATGCTTTTAAACAGAGATTATCGATAGTATTGGTAGATATTTCTTACTTATAACAAATGATGAAAACTTACTAGCATATTTTCTTTTTTAATTTTTCCCCTTTGTACAGCATCTGCTTTTGGTTCTGGACAAGAAGACCATTTTTATTTCTTTTAGAATGTGAAATATTCATCTTTTGACAAATTGTGGAATATCTCTTATTTCTCCTCCCTTTTCTCTACCTCATGCTCCCTTTTAAAACCATTCTAGTGTTATGATTTCTAGAACACTTATGTAACCCAGAAAGCCAATTTTTATCAGGAAAAAAAAAATTTCACTTTTTCGAAGTTCATTAGTCTGAAAGTACAATAATATTCTTTATTTTATCCAGCAGAGGTGTGATACAGGTCACTGCAGGC